AGGAGCCTGCATCAGGGAGGAGCCTGCATCAGGGAGGAGCCTGCATCAGGGAGGAGCCTGCATCAGGGAGGAGCCTGCATCAGGGAGGAGCCTGCGTCAGGGCGCCGTGTGCTCGCTGCTGGGCTGCCGCTGCTGGTAGGCGCAGCTGCTGGACGTAGCAGCAGCGTCCACACTGGGGGTCAGTGGGGTTGCCCTGGTCTCCTTCCGGTGGCAGCGTCAAGGCTGACCGAGGCTCCGCTCGGGTCCCTCGGTAAAAGGAAAGCGGCTGTGGTGATTGCTTTAGCAGATTGTCCCCTTGGAGAGCAGCCTGCCAGGGCCAGCGCAGAGGTCCAGGCCCCGCAGTGTGAGCTGCACCTCAGGCCAAGGCCCCCGGACTTGCGCAGGGACAGGCAGCGCCCCACCCCGGGACCAGCCGGAGCCTTGCCCGAGGCCGGTGGGGCCAGGCCCGGAGTCCCAGAATTGGCCCCCACCCCGATGCCCCCGGGGCGGACGCTGTCCAGGGGGGGCTCCAGCGCTACCTGACCCACCCACCCCCGACCCCCCACAGCACCGGAGAACTGGGCCCGGACCGCAGACCTGGCTTTTGTCCCCTCGACTGTCCCCCTGGCGCCCTGCAGGTGACGCGCAAGCTGCTGGAGACAGAGGACCAGGCCGCCTTCCCCATGGGCAGGCCCGCCCCGCGCTACCTGTACCTGGCCAGCAACCGCAGCAACAAGTGGGGGCGCCCGCGGGGCTACCGCTTGCAGCCGCAGGGCCCCGTGGGGGAGCTGCTGCCCCAAGACAGCTCCACAGCGGCGGCCTTCAGCTGGGGATGGTGAGCAGGCAACAAGGGGGTGAGCGGAGGCTCCTGGGGCTCCCATTCCCTGGGTGCTGGGCACACACCCTTCACTTTGCACGCGTGGCCACACGTGCACCCCGACGCAGCAGGGTGCCGAGAGCAGCACCTAGCCGTAGGGCCTGTGCGCGTTTACGGGCAAGTCTCCCAACTCCTCTGCCTTTGTCCCCACTTACGTCTTTGGTACAGGGTCTTGCCTTGCAGCTTGAACTTGTAGTGAGCCTCCTGTTTTTAGCCTCCCAGCGCTGGGATTACCAGCATGCACCACCACATCCAGAATCCATTGGGGCTCAGGGCACTCCAGGGGCGGGGCTGGCGGGGCGTGCGGGCCTGGGGATCGAACCTCGGTCCCTACCCTTGCCAAAGCGCGCTTAGCTATCCGCTGAGCTATCTCACGGGCCCCTTTAAAGTTTGTTGTAATTGTTTTTATTTATTTATTTATGTGTGTGTGTGTGTGTGTGTGTGGCCAGCTCAGCCCACCAGGGGGCGGGGCTGGCAGGCATGTGGTGCTGGGGATTGAACCGTGGTCCCTGTGCTTTGCTAAGCTTGTTCCAAGTAGGTGCTCTAGACCACTGAGCCATCTCACCAGCCCTGTAATTGTTTTTTGTTGAGGCTTATTTCTGGTTTTGGTGCCAAGGACTGAACCCAGGGCTTTCAGCTTGCTAGGTAAGCCTTCTGCTGTTGAGCTAAATCCCCAGCCCTGTGTATTATCAAATTTCGTGACTGCGTCTTGCTGTGAAATCCAGGCTGGCCTTGACCTCTTGGTGACTCTCCTGCCTCAGCCTCCCAAGTGCTGGGATAACAGCCACACACCACCATGCCTGGCCTTTTCTGTAGTTTTTAAATGTTCACAATAAAGGTTGGAAGAAAAGAAACAAAGGGTAAAGGAACATAGACGGGGGTCGGCCCCCACCGTTCAGGCCTTGAGGTCTTGGGTGTGGCCTGCCGTGGGAGTCAGGCTGCACCTGCACAAGGGTCGAGGCCCAGGCTTCGCACCCGCCGGCACCTGGGAGGAAGGACGCGTGACAGTGCTGCCCTGAGTGCTGGGCTGGCGGCCACTGAGTCGGGGGTGCTGCCAGCCCAGAGCGGGGCTTGGACACGGGTCCTTGGAGCTGGGGCTCTTGGCCCTTCTTACCCCCGCTTCTGCCCTGCACCACTCGGGGCCAGTGGGACCCCGATGACTTTGCTGCTGTCATCAGCGCTGCTGCAGGTACCAGGCGGCCGTGACCTGGTGGAAGGAGGAGGAGCCCTGCAGCTCCGATATCTACAACCTGAATGACCCCTGGACGCCAACTGTGGACTTCAGCAACTTCATCAACCATGAGACCATCAAGGGGCAGGTAGCCACCAGGGCAGCCACTGGGCTTTCCCTACCATACCCCTTAGGGACTGTTAGAGCCCACTGAGAAAAAGAGGGTAGTCAGGGTCTTGCTACATAGCCTGGACTGGCCTCGACACCTACGATCCTCCTGCCTCAGCCTCCTGAGCGCTGGGATTGCTGTCTGCACCACCGTGCTTGGTTTAGAAAAACACTTTATGATTTCATTTTTCCTAAGAAATTAAGGGTACAGCACAGGCAATGGTGGGAGGCGGGCGCAGCCCTGGCAAAGCCGGGCCTCAGGGGTGCCTTTCCTCTCCCCTGCCAGGACCTGGTGGCCTGGGTGACAGCTGGATTTCTGCACATCCCACACGCAGAGGACATCCCCAATACGGTGACAGTGGGCAACGGGGTGGGCTTCTTCCTGCGGCCCTACAACTTCTTCAAAGAGGACCCCTCCTTCTGCTCTTCCGGGAGGGTGACAGTGCTGGCGCCTGCGAGCTCAACCCCCAGGCCTGCCCGCCCCGGGTCGCCGCCTGCGCCCCCCGCCTCCCTGCCTTCTCCCACGGGGGCTTCTTGCACCACTAGGAGCATGGGAGGGACAGACCAGCCTGACTCCCCATGTCCTTCTTCAGCCCTGCTGTCCCCTGCATGGCCTGCCTCCTCTGGGGGCACCTGAGCCCGGGGTGCCCAGGAGGGAAGAGGGTGGCCAAGCTCTCCCTGGGAGACCCCAGCTAAGGTTCTCTAAGCTTCCCCCTTGTTTTCATGAATAAGACTTAATCCCCCATTTAAAGTGCACCGGCTGTCGTTTTCTTCCAGGCTCCAAGTGGTGCAAGCAGCGCCACCTATTCCGGAATGTTCCCATGGCCCCAGAGGGCACCCCGTTCCTGAAAGCTGTCACCCCACTTCCCCGGGTCTTTTCCTAGGCCTAGCTGCTGCAGAATCTCCTTGCTGTCACCGAGGATCTGGACATGCTAACTGATGCGCTGTCCCTTGTGACTGGCTCCTGCTGAGGAGGCTTTTGAATATAAATCAATCCGCTCTCCTTGCTCTCTGTGTAGCAATGTTGCAGTGTTTGATGTTGGAGTTTGGATCTTCTTGGTTGTTTTTGCTGTTTTGTTTTTTCTTTTGAGACAGGGTCTCGCTATGTAGTTTAAGCTGGCCTTGAAACTCATTGCGTAGCCCAGGCTGGCCCCAAACTTACAGCAATCCTCCTGGCTCAGCCTCCCAAGTGCTGGGTTCCAGGTGTACAGCCCACCCTGCTAGGCCCAGATGTTGAAAGCTGGGCTCCCCAGTTTGCACTATGGGGAGGTGGGGTGACTCCCGAGGAGTCCCTGGAAGCGGCTGGGGACCCTTCCGACTCCCATGCCCCCAGCTGAGGACGCACTTTCTCTTTCCTCTCACTCAGATGTGGCCACAGGGGCTGCCTGTGCCTGAGCCCCACTCAGCAGGGCCAGGGCTCCTTGGCTGAGCCTCAGAGCCAGAACCGGAGCCTGAGTACACTTGTCTTCACAAGTCAGCTGCGGCTTGTCCTGTCCCAGCCTCTGGGAGCGTGTCCAACAGGTGGTGGAGCTGGCTTCTGTCCTGCGTTCTCCCCATTCCCTCCCACGGATGATGCTCAGAGAACGCCTGTCCCTGTAGCTTCACATCCAGGTCCAGAGAAGGCGGAAATGGTGGCACGGGGTCTGATCCGGTGGGGAGCTGCAACGGTATGAAATATACGTACAGTTCCCATCTTGAGGAGGTATTTCAGTGGCTCACGGCCTCTGGAAACTTGCTTGGGCCCTGGCCCTGGTTTGCAGTGGGAACAAGGAGCAGCTATGGTCAGGCTGAAGGTGTAACCCACCCCCAGGCCAGCATCTCGGCTTGGGACTCAGGAGGGGATGTCTGTAGTCTGCCTGGTATCTCCCACGCCTCCTACAACCCTGGCTTCTGCTGTGACCCCTTTGGTCCTGGAGGTCCCCGTGCTCTGGACCTCACAGTCCCACATCTCTGGGGGCGACAGCCACAGCTCTGGGGACCCGGCAGTTGGCTGCTGAAGTCTGAAGGCCTTGAGGACAGGGCCGGGGTTCGCTGAGCACCCAGTGAGGTGCACCTGCAGGGCTTCGATCCACGTGGTTGCGAAAGCCAGGTGGGGCCACAAAGCAGGCCTCCCTTGGATGGCGCTCAGCAGGGTGCGTGCAGAGCATCTGCCCCTGGAGCCACTCGGTGCCACAAGATGGGATTGGGGAACAGAGAGGGGACACTCAGCCTGAGACCGACCGGAGGGCATTCACAGCCTGGGGCTCAGGCCATGCCCTAGATCCCGGGGAGCCGGGAGTCAGGGACCTGGGGGAGGGGCCTTGCAGGGCCAGGACCACGCTGCACAGAGGCAGGACCTGTTCGCTCAGTAGCTGGCTCTTTCCATCTTTGTTTTTTTTTTTTTTTTTTTTTTTGCAGAACTGGGGATTGAACTCAGGCCCTTGTGCTTGCCAGGGAAGTGCTTATTCCACTGAGCCATCTCCCGGCCCGGGCTTTGTTCTTGAGACAGGGTCTCCCGTGCAACCCAGGCTGGCCTTGACCTTTTGTGCTCCTCCTGCTCCGCCTCCCGGGTTGTGGGCCTACAGCTGGGCCTTTGTGTTTTGCTCAGTGATTCGGCTTCTCTTTACTCTTTCAGCCCAGACTTTTTTTTCTTTCTTGTTTAAAGAAATTTGGAGTAAGGCGTGGTGGTGTATGCGATGGCCTACACCCAGAGGCTTAGCATAAGTATCGCCACCATAAACTTTAGCTGACCCCAGAGCGGTGGAAACAGGCCTACGTGTGAAGCAAGTAACCATATGGAGGAAATATACCCTGAGAAAGCGCTGACCCGAAACAATAACAGGAAGGAAAAGTAGACAGACATATAGCAAGAAAAAAATCTGTTGGACAGGCAGGATGCACGCTGACCTAACTGACAAACAGGCTCCATGCTGTGCATCTTATTCTGTTTGACAAGCAAGATATATCACATATTCTCTTTATATTTTGTTTTCTTTTTGTCTTTCTCTCCCCCTTTATCTACCCGCCATGTCTTCTGGTCAGGACTGCGCGTGTGGACTCTGGGATGGGTCTATGCTGACGGCCGCTGAGCTCAGCAAAGATCTTCAGATTTTAGTTGGCTACTTGGATTCCTGTATTGATCATGAACCCACAGCAGTGTATGCGTGTACTCCCAGCGTGCGGAGGCTGAGGGAGGAGGACCTCTGAGAGTTGACGCTACATCGGAGACCCTGTCTCAGAAAACAACAAAACAGAGCAAAACAAAAGGCCGGAAGGAAAGAACCCAATGTGGGCTCTGATGGATGAAAACATGATCTTGTTTCCAGAACAAACAGATGCTGCCCCTCCCCCTCCCGGGACAGGCTGGCCCTTGTGGGGGTGTGGGGGTGTGGGGGTGTGGGGGTGTGGGGGTGTGGAACATGAGTCTTTAGACACACACACACACACACACACAGCCAGCGCTTCCTACCTCATGGCTCTTCAGGTCCCCTGGTCCAGGCTTGGGCCCCCTGCCTATCTGTCCCACTCTGTCCCCTGGCCCACAGTGGCTGGTGCTGAGGTTTGACAGTATCTGCTCCCAGAGAGCCCCCCTGTCCTTTGTCCCCAGCATGGGCTTCTGGGCACCCCTACAGTGGCTGTCATCGCAGTCTGTGATGCTACTCCTGCTGTTGCTGGTTGGACTGGGGCGAGGGGCAGTGGGGGTGGCAAGGGACAGAAAGGGTGGGTGTGGGAGCAGGGCCGGACGAACCCAGGACAAGAGGCGGCTCGGGCATCTCTGCCCACCAGGCCATGCCCACCTGTCCCACCTTCCCTGTCTGAACTGGTTTCACTCACTCAGCAAACACTCCTTGGACATCGTGTGAAGGCCAGACTCATGCGGATACATGACAGAGTGCACCCTCAACCTGTCCCTCAGTGAGCTCAGAGCTGGGTGATAACAGAACTTGGAGAGCAGAACCGCAGTGGGAGGGGCCGGGAGATAGCTCGACGGCTCAGGGCCCGCCTGGGAAGCGCAAGGGCCTGAGTTCGACTCCTGGCACCAAAAATAAATCAATAGGAGTCAGGGCGCTGGGCTTCCCATTTGCATTGGGTAGACAGCCCCACCACCAGGAGGGTCCACGTGCCTACAACCCGAAGGACTTTCTGTAAGAAGTGTGGCAAGCACCAGCCTCACAGAGTGGCCCAGTACGAGAAGGGCAGGATTCCCTGTTCGCCTGCGGAAAGCTGGCTACCACGAGGAAGAAGGCTGTGCTGAGGCCCGACTGCGGCTCCAAGAGAACGCCGGCCAGTGAGAGGTGCAAGCGCATTGAGCTGGGAGGCGACGGGAGAGAAGGGCCAAGCGATCCGGCTCTAACCTCGTGCTTCACTTTAGGGCAACTTTGCTGAAGCTACAGAAGGTTTAGCTGTAGGAAAATAAGTGCAGTAGTAACCACACCTAAGAATAAATAAATAAATAAACTGCAAGGAGGTGAGGGTTGTGTACGTTTAGCTGTATTTGTTCATATATTTGGATGAGTGAAACAATCCAAATGTAGGACAATCTTTTTTTTTTTTAGTACCAGGAATTGAACTCAGAGCGAGCTTCCCAGGCAGGCGCTTGTGCCGCTGAGCTACATCTCTGGCTGGGAAATCTTGGAAAGCACAAAAGAACACATTTGTAGTGAGGGTCCAGCCACCCCAACGCACCAAAGCCCACTGAGTGCTGTGTGTGGGTCGTGGGCTGGTGGCGTAAACTTCAAGCATGCTGAATTTCTTAGCAGTGGGCGCGGCCCCCATCCCAGCTCTGCCTGCCTCTCTTCATTGGGCTTGGAGCTTTCTCTTTGTCTTCTTGGCTCTGAGGGGCAGCAACACTTCAAAGCTGTGCAGGATCTGAGTTCAGTCCCAAGGTGAGCTGGGGGAGACAGCCTGGGCTTAGCCACCAGGACCAGGTGGCATGGGAGTAGTGTGTGTGTGTGTGTGTGTGTGTGTGTGTGTGTGTGTGTGTGGCATCTGGCTATCAAATGGGGCAGTGGGGCCAAGGAAGGAGCTGTGGTAAGGTCCTCGTTTCCTGTGTGTGAGGCCCTGGGCTCCCTTCTCAATACCAAAACAGACAGAAGGCTGGGCGTGGTGGCACACACCTGTAGTCCCAGCACTCGGGAGGCTGACGCAGGAGGATTCCCTTGAATTCAAGCCCAGCCTGGGTTTCTGGTGAAACACTGTCTCAAAAACCACCACCACCAAGAATAGAACAAAATAAGAGATGGAGGGCCAGATGACTGACCACAGGATGCTGGCGTTGGGCCCAGGTGTTGGGCCCTGGTGCTGTGATGGCTTTAGATAATGTCTCCAGGTGGCAGATGCCCTGACGCCCACGCTTTGCATTGCACCACCAGACTCCTCCCGGGGCCTGACACGAGTCCCTCGCCCATTAGGGCCACCCCCTGGGGAGTGGTGGTGGGTCGGAGTTGATCCGAAGCCCTCAAGGCCTGTGGAGGGTTCTTACTCCAGAAGTCCTTCCCTACCCCCTACTGAGGACAGCAAGGTGCAGATGGGTTCCTCTTGCCTTCCAGCTCACAGAAGTGGCCACTGCACACCCTCCTGCCCTCCTTGGCCATACGGCACAGGGGGGTCTGAGGCAGGCAGACTGGGCGAGGAGACATCCAGCTGTGTCGGAGGTGATGAGGCTGCATTCAATGTCCTTGACCTCGGGGTGAAGCTGTCTTCAAGGTACATTTGTATACATGAACATTGTGATATAATCCACTATACCATTTACTTGGCCTTCGGCTGGTTTCCTAACTCACACCCCTAAAATCCTTGGGCTATCTTGAGTGTTAAGTATATCTTTCCTACGCTTCTGGATAGCTTCAGGAGGTGGGCTGGCTGCCAGCGGAGCCAGCCACGTGATTAGAGGACCTTGCAGGCCCGTCCCTGTGTTAGGCCCCGCATCAGCTGCTGGAGACGGGGAAGCCAACAGTCTCTGGCTGGCTGTGAGCTGCTGCTTCACTCCCCTGTCCCACTGCCCCCAGCCTCCCCGTGGCTGGCAGGCTTCATCAAACAGAAAGTCAAAAGCACCCCAAGAAGGCGCTTCCTGGAAGTCTCAGAGAAGAGCACTACAGAGGCCACCCCCCCGGTGACTGTTCCAGCCAGGCCAGGAGCAGAGGACCCGCAGAGGCCAGGCCTGTCCAGCCCTGGAGGAACTTGAGTAAGGGACAGGGGTACCGGCACTGGGGAACTCACCGGGGGACCAATTGCTGGCTCTGCCTCCAGCTCAACAAGCCAGCCATATCCCGCTGGTCTTAGTCACTGTCCCTGTTGCTGCAAGGAGAGTTTTTTGCAGCTCCGGTTCTAGAAATTTCAGTCCTTGAGTGGTTGCAGTGTGGTCAAAGGGCCTGGTGGAGGAGTGTGGCTCCCACCATGGGGCACAGGAAGCAGCGAGAGAAGGGAGGAGCCAGGTCAAGGGGAGGAGCCTGCTGGCCCCGCCCAAGTGGGCGGTCCTTATCGCCTGACCCTGCCTCCCATCAGGAGGTCCACTGCACAGCAGATCCCCTGGCCAGCCAGTCCCCCCTCTGAGGCGTCCTGAGAAGGAAGCATACCTGTCACTCAGCTCCTGTTGCAGATGCCCCCACGGATGTCCTGCTGGCACACCCTCAGCTGGGTGTCCGTGGCACCCTCCAGAGCACAGGTTCGGTGTCACAGACCTCTCTCTCTCCCCCTCCCTCTCCTGTCTCCTTCCCTCAGCCCCTCAGAAGCCCTCAGAGCTCCATCATTCTGCAGGGTATGTGGGGGCCTACAAGTGGGTTCAGCCCCTTCCACCCACACTGCCATTCTGATGCCCCTGTGCCCGATGCCCAGACCACACGGCTGTGGCCAGTGGCCCTGCTGTCCTCATGACTGTGCACCCCCATTTTCCTCTCCTCTCTCTGTGTCCTGTGAGGTCTTGTCAACCCCCTGAAGCCACTCACCAGGTCAAAGTGACATGTTTGTCAGCCTGGAACCCGAAGGCGTGGCTGACATCTGGTTCATGGCCTCTCGTGACAGACCAGGAGCTCCCTAGAGCAGGTCCCTGTCCTGGTGGCCCTGTGTCCCACATGATATGGTACCCTTTGTGGGCGCTTAAGCACGTCTTTGTACCATTTAATAAGCAGTAATTGTTCCATTCAAATTTTTTCTTGTCTTTTTGAAACCATTTCAGAGGAGAGTGCAGCAGCGTGTGCCTAAAGTCCCAGCCGCATGGGAGGCTAGCACAGGAGGGTCACTTGAGCCCAGGAATTTCCTTAGGGGTGGCCTGGGCAACGCAGCTAAACCTTATCTAAACAGAAATGATAAAAGCCATTTCACATGTGTCTTCTCATTGACCTGTCTCAAAAGGGAAGATAGAAGGAAGTCCAAAAATTCTAGTAAGAAAAACAGTCACCATGCTGTCCAGATGAGCCTGGGACATGGGGCCAAAGGGCAACACTGACACGGAGGGCGCAGGCATTTCTTTCCCAGGATTGTGGCCCCATGAACTTCGTAGCAAGGAGGGGACAGGCCAGGTCCCCGGTGGGAACAGGACACAAGGTCATCTCAGATGAGAGTTTGGTGTGGACACGTGGGCTGCATGAAGCCGAGGTGGAGTTTATGCAGATGAGTAAGGACAGTCACACTGTTGATTCTGGCTCTGGAGCATTTCACGCTCCCGGAGTTCCTCTCGGGCACGGGAACGGTGACTCCTGTGAACATTTTATTTAGCTTCTTGGGAACTACAGAACGCCTTCTGGTTGGTTTCAGACAGTGTTTCCTTGGGGGCCTTGGCCATGAAGGAAGCTTACAAAAGCTAAGTTCTCTGGAGGCTCGAGGCAGGAAGTTCCTTACGAGCCTTTCCCATCCTGGAATGGCCAGGCTGTGGTGGCTAGCGGAGCTGTGTCTGTGTTCTGGGGTAGGTGCCGGCAGCCGGGGCTCGGAGGACTGCAGAGCCTGGGTGACACCAGACACCACCGTGCTGAGTGGCCACTAACTGAGTGGTCACTGACTGAGTGGTAGCTAAGAAATGGTTGTAAGAGTGTCCCACGCCGGGGCCTCTGTTTCTCAGTCGGCAGTGACGCCACCGTGGACGGATCCCCACCCCACGTGTGCCCCAGACCGCTCTGGTCCAACCTAAGCCCTGTTGGCCCTGGGGGGTCTGGCCGTTGAACAAGACAGACATCTCATTAGCCAGAGAAAGTGCTGAGCTCCGGTCGGATCAGAGGATGAAGACAAACCTCTTGTCTGGAGGGAACGGAGGAGAACCCTAGCGCACATGCGGGGGGTGTCAGGCACAGGGTATTTTCTGAGATCTGAGCTACCTGCAGAGATCATGGGGCAGGTTAGAGCCCCAGACAGGGGCAGGTGAGGCGGGAAGCATGGATGGGGTCTGTCCTGCTAAGGAGGGCCAGCGCGCAGGCGGGCCAGGGCTTCCTTAGCGTGGCCTCGACACGGGTTGGAACCTGTTTGTCTGGGCCTGGCAACCGTGAGAGGCGCAAAGTCAGGGAAGCAGGCGTGTGTGGGAAATTCAAGCTTAGCCAGTGTGTAGGGTGCGGAGTCATGGAGGGGTCGTGGGGCACAAGACGAAGGGAAACATGAACTAGGCCTAACGGGGTGGGATGGCTTGGACTACCGGAGGTGGTGAGGACACCCTGCATGTTGTTTCAGTGACGTGAAAAGAACCGCACTTTAAGAACATGCTTAGCTACTCCTGGTGGTGCGCTTCTATGATGCCAGCACCCTGAGAGGCTGAGGCAGGAGGGCTGAAAGTTTGGACCCAGCCTGGGCACTTCAACTACTTAGCCAGATTCTATTTCAAAATTTAAAAAAGATAGGGGCGGGGGAAGATAGCGCAGTAGAATAAGCGCCTGCCTGGCAAGTGGAAGGTTTTGAGTTCAATCCCCAGTACTGGGAAAAAAAAAAAAAATGGGGCTGACCAAGTAGCTCAGCGGATTAAAGCACCTGCAAGCAGGCACAGGGGTCGAAGGTTCGATCCCTAATCCCTGGACCTGCTGTGCCAGCCCTGCCCCCAGGACATGCTAAGACTGGACATGATGGCATGCGCCTGTAATCCCAGCTCATGGGAGGCTGTAAACAGGCAGATCACTAGGAGTGCGATCTAGTATTGCGAGCTGAACAGCCTGAGGACGCTTCCCTAAAGCGCGCGCGCGCACACACACACACACACAATTAAGAAAAGAAGGGCTGGGGATATAGGTCAGTGGGGGGCCCTAGGATCTCCAGGGGTGGCCCCCAAGGTCCGAAGTCCAGTAACAGGAAGAAAGAAGAGAACAGGGGTGGAGCGTCCTGAGATAACTGGCCAAGGGGTGAAGCATCCAATGGCTGAGGGGCTGGGGAAAGGCCCCACAGACTGACCGAGTGGGCGGGCAAGGGCAGGATCCCTGAACCAGAGGCGGCTGCGGTCCCCAGGGCTGCAGGACCTGAGGTGGGGGGACCCCGGCCAGGCGGCCACACCCTGGCCAGCGGATCAGGCCTGGGGGAGCGGCTTGCTGTTGGCTTCCTGCTGGGCCATTCACTTCTTAAAATAGTTGTGCACGTGTACACAGGCAAGTGTGCGCATGCATACACACACACGCACACGCACACACGCACACACGCACACACGCATGCAGCTGCACTGTTTGCATCCTCCAGCGCTGGCCCTGTCTGTCTGAGGGCCCTTGAGGGCTGAGCCTTGGCTGCAGCCCAAGCCTCATCTCCTGCTGCTCTCCGAACCCGCGGCAGGCAGAAGCAGGACAACGACCTCCTGTTCTCAGGCTGTTTGGTTGGGATAATGTCCCAGCTATCACAGAGGCTGAAGTCCCCAAGGACAGAGCTGGGAGCTGGGGGCAGAGGTGGAGACTCAGGGCTCTGCACTGGAGCGGGTTCTGCCAGCACCATGGGGGCTTCGTGGGTCCCAGCCGGCTGCTGTCAGCCTGGTGCTGAGTCATCCCGGGTAGGAAGAGGCCGCCTCTACTGAGGACCCTTTTGAACTCTTTGCATTTTAAAAAGTCATGTAAATGTATTTGTTTTGGGAAATATTCTTTTCCTTGAGAGACAGAGGCTCACTATGTTGCCCAAACTGACCTTGAAACCCTGAAATCAAGAGAGCCTCCTGGCTCAGCCTCTGGAGTGCTGGATTACGGGCGGGAGCCACATACCCAGCCAACCCATTCTGCAAGCTGCCCGCCTCATCTCCGCCACTGAGGGCCAAGCTTCACTACAGCAGGAGGGGCTGCCTCGGACAGCAAGAGCAGCCTGTCTGAGAGCTCAGGCGCTGGGCGGATAGAAGAGCCAGGCACCTGCTGGGAGGGGCTGGGGATGTGGAAACAGGACTTTCTGGCCGAACGCTGCTTCCCAGCGACCTAGGAAGGGAGGCGGCACAGGAAGGGGCTGAGTTCCGGTGAGGCCCGGGGCTCTGTAGGCTCTTGGCAGAGGAAGGGACATCTGGCCCAGCGTGTGGCCACGGCCTTCAGGGCCTTTCCTGTGGACACGATGTCCCACTGCCTGATAGCCAGGCCCCGGCCACCTGGTCCACACATGCACAGGCCAAGGTCCTCATGCTGAACTTTCTCACTGTGCCAGAGATAACTCAGCCATTTTCCTGGCTGACAATGATTAACCTCCCGCCTATTTTTCTGGCTAATGACAGGGGTCACTCACTGTGAGGGTGACAGCCCTGGGTTTCTGCTGTCACCTTCTGCTTCTATTGCTCAGTCAAGGAATAAAGCACCTAAACACTGCAAAGAAAAAAAAAAAAAGAATTTCACTATTCGGTTCAAGCTGGACTTAAACTCACAGCGATCCTCCTGCCTCAGCCTCCTGAGTGCTGAGATGAAGGTGTGTGAACCCCCATGGCTGCCCAAAAAACTTTAAATAGGGCTAGGGATATACATAACTCAGCGGCACAGCGCTTGCTCGCTGAGGGCAAGGTCCTGAGTTTTGACCCCCCAAAAAAACTTTAAATAAATTAAACTATGTATCCTTTTGTCTGATTCCTCTTTGTTTTTAAATCTCAATTTGCTGCGCCCACACTTGTGTGGTGCACTGCGACTGAGCTTCTCCTGGGAGGTGGTTCGAGTGGGAGGTGGTCCCCGGGAAGGGCACCACACCTCCATTCCGCTCCTTGTCCAGTGGTTGGGGCTGCAGCCCTCCGAGGACCTGGCCTTCTGCTCAGAGGAAGCTGGGCCTGAAGCCGGCTTTGGGTTCCTGTCTCCTGTGAAGACAAATGCCTCTTAGGGGCAGTAACTAAGCAGCATGTGGGGGGATTCCCCAGCTGAACCCGAGCCCCTGCCGGGTAGAGGACTCAGAGAGCCAGGCTTTCTTTGGGGTAGTAAGTGCAAGCTTTGGCCAGGCGTGGCGGTACACTCCTGTCATCACACACTCAGAGGGCTGAGGCGGGAGGGTCACCGCAAGTTCCAGGCCAGCCTGGGCTACATAGCTGGACTCTAAACGAACAAAAAGCCCAATTGTCTTCCGTGCAATTTTTGCATGCTAAGGGTAGTACACGTGGCTTCTTCCCTCCTTGTGCTCCCACTGCAGATTGCGGTGAGTCCCCCTTGCCCTGACAGAAGGCGTCAGCCTGGCGTTGGCCCCGCTGTCCTTCTTCATCCCCAGGCCGGACTGTACTTTCTGGCACCCACCTTCCACGTTTTTCTTTTCTTTTCTTTTTTTTTTTGCAGAACCGGGGATTGAACTCAGACCCTTGCGCTTGCCAGGGAGGCGCTTACTCCACTGAGCCATCTCCCCGGCCCCTCCTACGTTTTTCTTGAAAGCTCTGGATTTCTGTTTTTGGAGAAGATGCCTGAGCAGTGCCCTGTGAGTGTCCCACCCTCAAGAAGCCCCCCAGCTTTCCTCTGCTCCCTGGGCCTCTCAGGCGTTTTCCTGGGTGCCAACAGGAAGGAGCTCCGTGATCTCGTACAGCCGAGATCCAGTTCCTTTTGTTCACCTCACTGTGGAAGCGTCCGGCCTCCCCGCGCCCTCAGGTAGCCAGGGTCCCGAGGACAACCAGGATTTACCCCGGCTAAGTCACAGTAGAGGCTCCTTTGGAAGAGACGACACAAGGGAGAGGTGGGGGGCTCCTCTCTGGAAACAGTTCTTTTGTTCTGCTTTATGTTCGGTGCTGGGGGCAGAACCCAGGGCTTCACACACAACCAGCAGACAGGCAGATGTTTTACTGCAGCGTCACGTCCCTGCCCTATGATGGCTCCACAAACAAGGGGTTCTTGGCAAAGCAGAATCTCAGGAAGTCAAAGGCTTCATCTAGAGCCAGGCACCATGGCAGGTGCCTGTCATCCCAGCACTTAGGAGGCTGAGGCAGGAGGGTTGCTGTGAGTTCAAGGCCACCCTGGGCAACATAGGGAGCCCCATCTCAAAAAAAAGGGCTTGGGGGCTGGTGAGATGGCTCAGTGGTCTAAAGCACCTACTTAGTAAAAGCTTAGCAAAGCACAGGGACCGCGGTTCAATCCCCCAGCACCACATGCCAGCCAGCCCCGCCCCCTGGTGGGCTGAGCTGGCCACACACACAAATGAAATAAATAAATAAATAAATAAATAAATAAATAAATAAATAAAAAGGCTTCATCTGCATTCACCTGCGGACTTCACTGCCCTGTCCTGAAACCTGCGGGGTCATGATTTCTCTCCAGCCAGCTCTCCAGGCCTTGGGCCTCCCCTTCTGCTGCATGAGATAAAAATCTGCTGCAGGAAGCACGAAGGGTTGGAGGGTCAGAAGATGGGGCCCATGAACACGTCACCGAGTAGTCACAGGGGTTCTGAGCAATGGGGTCATGGTGTTGCCCACATGGCAGAGGGGTTCCTCCCGCCTCTGCCTCCAGAATGGATCGGGAGCCCCTGCAGACACCTTGCCAGCATTGGGCACCCCGCAGAGCCGTCAGGTCTTCTGCCCGCTAGGCTGAGCACAGGATAACCCTGCCCTGGGCAGCAGCCCTGGCTGTGGGTGGCCCACAGGGACCTGCAGGGTGAGCTTGGATGCTGTATGTGAGCGTCACCCACGCGCCCTGAGCTCACCCCTGATGGCGACAGCTCGGGTTCTGGGCATCACCGCCAGGACTGCTCGTTGCTCAATTCTGTCTGGCAGACACGGCTGGCAGGGGAAGCGGCTGTCTCTTCTGGTGAGGCATCGCCGGGGGCCCCACGACCACAAGGTGTACAGTGTCCATGTCCCCCCAGCACTGCCCAGAGCCTACCTATTTCTCAACCCCGCCAGCACTCACCTTACCCCACCGCACCCCACCAGCTGGCATGGAAGGATGTGGGGCCAGTGGAGATGGCACTGGGGCCATCTGGGGTCTGCAGGGCTGTGGCAGGGGAGCCAGGTGGGGACAAGGGGCCAGGTCAGAGGTCACTCCTGAGTCCTGTCCTGTGGGGAGTGATATCTGCCATTGCTACCCGAGCTCCGAATTTCTTTCTGCTGTCCCCTGCCGGTCCCTCACCCGTCCCTGCAGGCCTCCTGAGGGGAGAGTGAAGCCAGAGCCTGGACGACGCGTGGCTTGGTCACCAGAGGCTCCCTGCTCCCCCTGGGTGCTCGGGAGGTGCTGGCCTCTCGGGCTGTTTCCACAGGCGAACAGGAAAGTGCGCAGCATGCTGAGCCCTGTCTGAGACTCGCCCAGGACTTCCTAAAGTGTGCTCCAGCGTCCTCAGCTACCACTTGGCTGGTGCTCTTTTGATAAAGGAGTACACGTATGCACAAGCGCTGACACCCTGACACGCGCGACATTGAGCAAGTCGGTCACTGCTCTCAGGAATGATTCACCACATTCATTGGTGACCTATGAGATATGGAGCAAACCCTGGGAAGAGGGGTGATCCCCAAACCGGGCAGAGGTCCCCCAGCTCCTGGCCAAGTGGGGCCCAGAAAGGGATGGGGCCCAGTACCACAGTGTGGCGCACCCTAAGCTGAGCAACCCCCGTGGCTGCACCACCAAAGCTTTCCTTGGCCCTGGAGGAGCAGCTGCAGGCTCAGAAGGGCAGCCGGCCGGGCCTGACCCGGGAGGAATTCGACTCTGCCCTGTGCCCCGGCTGCTGCAGGAGCCAGGAGGGCAGTCCCTTGCCCCCAAAGCAGCGTGCCCAGGTTAATGATTGGCCCCGCCAGGGCCCGGTCAGGCTGTTTTTGTGTGTCGCTGTTTTGCTATTTTACGTAAATCACCCTGAACACGTTTGCATCAACCTCCCGATGATGCACCTTTGATCAATAGAATTTAGACAAAAGTGGCTTTTGAGTCCAAAGATCAGGGCTGGGTTGGCCTGCAGACTGGCTGCAGGGCATATAAAACGGGCAAGGCGCGGGCCGAGAGCAGAGCGCTGGCTTCGCAGCCGCAGTCCCGACGTCCCTGGCTATCGGAGGCTCTGGGCCCAGGATGGAGCTCGGGATGAATGTGCTGCACGACTTTGGGATCCAATCCACGCGCTACCTGCAGGTGACTTACCAGGACTCGCAGGACTGGTTCATCCTGGTGTCCGTGCTTGCCGACCTCAGGAACGCCTTCTACGTCCTCTTCCCCATCTGGTTCCACCTGCAGGAGGCCGTGGGCATCAGGCTGCTCTGGGTGGCCGTGATTGGAGACTGGCTCAACCTCGTTTTCAAGTGGTGAGAAGCATGCAGCAAAGGCGGGCAGGGAGGGGTTCCCCCCAGGCGACTCTCCCTAAGGGACCCCAGATGGAGACAGCCCTGTCTGCACTGGAGCCCCAGGGTAGCCAATTGCCTAGCAGGGGGCCAGGTGACCTCAGGAACAAGCCTGCACTATTTCAAGCTTTAAGCAAAGAATCACTTGGATGACCCTGAAAGAATTGAGGTTCAGGGTGCAGCTTGCCCAGCATGCACGAGGCTCCGGGGTCCATCCCTGCACTGCAAATAAAAGAAAGAGTGCGAGTTGAGGCCATGGAGCTAGTGGATGTGTGGGGCTGGGAGCCCTGTCGCACAGGCCGGGAAGGGCGCCTGGCCCTGCCCAGCTCCCTGCACACGCAGCCCTCGCAGCTCTCAGCTCCTCTCTGTGCTCTGCAAGCCCTGCTGGCCTCCAGCACCGGAGCGATCCCTGTGACTGCGTGTTAGACACACGCCACAGGCCGGGTCACGTGCAGTTCTGTGGTGTCCAAGGAGCAATCAAGGGGCCCATTAACTGGCCTGTGAGCGCCCCACTGCAGCACGTGGGCCACACCCTGCCCGATTTCGTCAGCCCCAGCCAGCGAGGAGCTGTCGTGTCAAATGACAGGTTCATTTCTTTCTTACTTGCGCTTGCAGGGCTGGAGACCGAGCCCGGGGCTGGCACCCACGAAGCAAGGGCTCTGCCCTGAGCTTTAGCTCTACCCTGGGAGTCTCTCAGGGTCGCTTTCAGGACTGGGTGTGGTGACACACCTCCACCCTCAGCCTTCAGAGGCTGGGGCAGGAGGACCACAAGTCAGGCCAGTTTGGGTAACTTAGGTTTTGTCTCAAAGCACATAAAAACTCCCAGCTTGAATATTTTTTTGGCCATATGCAATAGAAGACCTTTAGTGTAAGAAAATAAAAATGTTATGAAGCAAAGCATGCGATGAGATGCCTGAAGTCTCGCGAAAGAGCCATGGATTGTTTCTGGGTGGGTAGAGGTGAGGTTGGCAGTGTCCCCAGGCTTGATAAGACGCATCCCGGGGCCGGGGAGATGGCTCAGTGGAATAAGCACTTGTCTGGCAAGCACAAGGCCCTGAGTTCAATCCCTGGGACTGAAAAAAAAAATTAATAAAAAAGAAGCATCCTAATGACTTTTTAATATAAATTTTTTTAATTTTATTTATTTATTTAT